TACACGCACGAAAAAGCAAGCTCAACGACTCCGAAAGAAGAAGAAGAAACTCTCGATACTAGTGCGACTGAGGCAACAGCCGATCCACTCGACAACCTCGATCTTCCTGCCATTGGCGACTTATTCGTATTGTGTCAGAAGAAGTATGGCCAGCGAAATCTCACTGTCTTACTGTACAGTTTGATGCGACACCTGCGTGTTTCCTGGCGAGCTACAGATGATGTCTCCAAGAACATCGGTGCTCTTCGTTGTCAGGCATCTCACAAATGGGCTAAACTCTTTCTCTCAGGCGATCTCGACACGTTCACGGAAGAAAATCGAGGTGGCAAGCATTCGGACTCATTCTACGACACCTTTCCTGACATTGAAGTCGAAGCTCGTGCCTTTACTGTGCAAGGTTGTTCTCGTAAAAACCCCAGTTTCACGTCACTAGAACTCGCTCAGTTTATCGATGCCAAGTACTACGAAGCGACAGGGGAACAAAAGACAACGGAGGAACTGGTTCGTTCAGAACAAAGATGTCGAATAGATATCAGAAAGTGGGGTGGCAAATTCGAGGCGAACAGTCAACGGCCGTACTTCGAGGGGCATGAGTCAGATGATGTGGTGGAGCACAGAAAGAACTTCGTTTCTTACGTCCTGAGCAGAAAAGAACACTATTATGTGGTGAATGATACGAAAACCAGTTATGAGATGCCAAAAAAGAAGGCTTGTGTTCTAATCTGTCATGATGAATCTACATTTCGTAGTGGAGAAGTGTCAGCAAAGCGATGGACGATGTTCTCCCTTACTCCATTCTATAGTAAGGGGAGAGGACGGAGTTTCATGATGTCTGATTTCCTCGTAACTCATCCAAGTGGACCTTTCTTCGCTCTGACTTATTCAGAATATTCAGAAGCGAAGAAGGAATATCCTACTCTAGAAGTTCAAGGAGAAACCCACTTTCCAGACTACACTGCTACGGCAGGTATTACTCTGGGGAAAGACGATTATTTTGACAATAAAACGGTGTTGAGGTGGACAATGCACGGACTCATTCAGCGAAACAATACAGCATCAATGACTTTGGAAAAGAAGTTGGGACTCGATGTCCGGTGGAGTTTCTCGAATTTGTCGATGATAAAGGGGAAGATGTGAAAATTTCTTGTTTTTTCGAAGACGGACAGCAGAAAAATAAGTCGAAGGGATTGTTTGTACTGGCGCAAGAACTGAATCTTTCTCCTCAACCGAAAATTTCTCTTCCCGAACTCAAAACCTTGCTCTCGAATCATCCAGCTTTTCATAATATCACGAAAGTGGAGAAGATTGCGTCGATGTATGGTGTCAAGATCATCTTCGTCCCTAAGTTCCACTGTGAGCTCAATCCCATCGAAGGCCTTTGGTGTCATATGAAACAATACGTACGCAAGAAGAACGATCAAACGTTTCCAACGATGGTCAAGCTAATCCCCGAGTCGCAAGAAAACTTCAAGTCCAAGTCGATTCAATTGCCCCCTTTTTCATCGTTTCTGGAAGTTGATCGAAGCATACAATCAGGGCAAGTCGTACGAAGAAGTTTTGCAATTCTTCTTCAGCAGTCGAAGCAAACCAGATGTTCAATCTCATCGTCGAATCACCACCACTGCTGCTCCTTGATCCTCTTTCTTTCTTAATCGCGTGAGATGGAAGACAATGATACGATCGAAGTCTAGCGATTACCAATAACGGTTTTTCCTGCAACTAAATGTTAACATTTCTCTAGTTCATCTCTTGCCTTTCCATTTGTGTCTCTCTTCTTTGTTGTATCTCTTGACAATAATAAATATTCATATTACTGAAGATACCGTCTTTCTTTGATGTTTTACTACTTGAAAAACCGGGTTTTCAAGTGGAAAGCGTTCAGAACTTTAGAAATAAACTTCTTGAATATACTTAAATAGTCTCCGTTAAATTCTGCTTCATTTTTAACCTATAGTTTAATTGGAAAAGTGAAACAAGTGTTATCTGATCGGAAAAGAAGAAATCGAAAATACTGTTTTTTTCTACTGACCGTATCGTTTAACTTTTTTCTGACTGACAAAAAATTCTAAAAAAAATGTGTACACATGCTTTTGTAGAGCTTTGAACGGCGGTTCGAATGAGATGTGACAGAAATTTTTAGGATGAAAACTCTAGGAGGAGATACAGTTACAAGATGATATAGGAAAAGTTCACTATGCGAATCTTAGATTTTCCTATGTTTCAGTGAGTGTGCAGAGGACTTTCAAATACACTTGAGTAGATGCAACAGGAGCTGAAGAATCCGAATATCTCATTCAGAACTGACATCCTCCAAAAGAAGTGGTGTTTTTGCGTTTTTCTTAACATGTACCAAAAACAGACTTTTTCGGGGGTTCCAGTATTTTCACGTTTTCGACCTGAAAATCTCGTCAAAAGTGGAATCTGATGACTATGACCATGGGTCAGAATTGTCAGGGCTATCGAATGAGGTATAATTCGACCACTTTTGCGTCTGCTCCGTTTTTGCCTTTCCTGCACCTTACTTCGATTGAATATCAAGTGCAGAATTGTTTAGTATCACATGTTATTTAGGCTCCAAGTAGAAAGACAAATCCAGTTTTCAAGAATGTGGCAGAAATGAACTCCTTTTGGTTATAGGTGAGATTTCTAGGATGCTTTAAAATAGGATCTTTAAAAAAAGAAATAACCAAGAGAGAAAATGTCGGCATTCTCAAAAAATAGCTTTACGGAAAATGGTGTTTAACCGGAAGAATGAGCATTAGAAAACTACGTATATATCCACCATTGGCAGAGGCTTTCAAGAGCTATCTAGCAGTGAGTTCTATTTCCAAAAATAAATATTCGTTTGTATGGAAAAAATAAGTTAGTAAAAACAATGTGTGGGACGTACGTGCAGTTCATACAATCACACTATGTGGCCTATAAAAACGTTCAGTTATATTGTTTTATACTAAGGTTAATAGAAATTTCTAAAGAATTCGACGGCGTATCTTTAAAAAACAAACCAAGCTTTATCATTTGTCTGTGCTGAGATATTGGCAAAATAAAAAACGTGCAAACATTTTACGATACTCATTGTATTTAGACTCATAAACTATTTTTAGAGATGCAATGATTTCACTTATATTCTTCACACTGTTTCTATGTTGTCTAATTATCTATTTATTGAGAATTAAATATAGACAAACCTATTTCGAACGTTTGAATATTCCCTGTCCCCCACCAACATTTTTCTTTGGTAATTATCGTACGTTATGGACCTCTGGGATCGCCTATTCAAAACAACTTCAACAGTGGACACGGGAATATGGGCATATTTGTAGTATGTATGAAGGTACACAAGCAATCTACGTTGTATCAGATGTCGAACTTTTACAAGAAATATTCATAAAACAGTTTTCAAATTTTAATACACATCATAAAACACAACTTCTAATTAAAACACGTAAAAATCAACATGATGATTTAATTGCCAGTAGTGGACAGCAATGGAAACGACAACGGACAATACTGAATCCAGTATTTTCGCAAGCGAAACTAAAACAAATGGCACCATTGGTAGATAATTGCATTGCAGAATTAATGACAAAATTGTCTTCATCTGAAAATAACGTATTTAATATTTATCCGTATTATAAACGTTTGGCAACGGATGTTATTTTAAAATGTGCATTTGATGTTACTGAATTGAATGTTCAAAATATAATTGATAATAAAGAAAATATTTATTTAATAAAAATACAAGAATTTCTGTCTACTGATACAGCTACATTACTGATATATAAAATCGCTCATTTAACTGAATTAGCCCCAGTGCTTGGATGGACTTTAAGATTTGTTGAATTTCTAGCATCTATTGTTAAATCTCAGGTTGCTGTATTACCACTCGACTGGTTTACTGATCATATTCAAGAATTTATTACAGTTAATGTTAGAAGTGATAACAAAAGAAAATGTCAAGATAAAGCGCAGACACTCGCCAAGTTCGAGTATTTAATACTTGGCTGCTCCCGGTTCATTAAAATGTTTTATTCATGTTTCCTAGTGAGTTTTGTAAAAGTGCTGCAGTGTAATAGTAAAGTGTGATAAAGCTTTCGGAATTTATTATTTGCCTTACTAGATTGGTATGGTTCGCATCGAGGCACAACAACGAAAGCCAAAATCGCAAAGATGCTTTTGTGCGTAAGATAAAATCAGCGATAGAGTAATTGAGAGAAACGCGAAAAGTAAAAGAGCAAAAAGGAACACGACTCGAATTTTTATTGATTATGGTTAAAGAAGAGCTATTTGAAACAAAACAGTAGACACGCTTCTCACAGAATGCCACTTGATTTTTTCGCTAAATTAATTTTCGCTATTCTGCACTTTCCCTAGAAAACGTTCACTGTTTGTGATTTTTCTGAAGTGTCTTTCGCTGTTTTGTAATTTCGCTGAATTACCCCGTATTTGTTTTTCACTATTTTTAGTTTTATTCCACTTTCGCTATATGTATTTTCGCGATGTGGATCGTTAGATTATATGAACACTGAAAGTATGAGATATTGATTCCTTTTATATGCAGAGTTACCAAAATAAATTCTGCAAATAAAATTGAAAAGATATTTCCCAACGTATAACTGACTGAGGTAGGTCCAATATGCAGAAAACATAACTGATACTTCCGTTCCAATCGATAGTGCGATTTGACAAACTTTTTTATTTTAAACGTGTCTATAGTCTGCGTCAGTCATTTCGTATGAGTATCTGTTGTCGACGTCAGAATTAAATAGGGATGAGTGTAAGTTGAATAACATGGAAACAAAAGAATACAGAGAGGTCAGATTTGGCCGTTCGAAAGAGGATCCACGGAGACAACTTTATGCAGCATGAAGACATTTTTTACTCTTCTTAGGATCAATTAAATGATGTGAAAAAGTTGACCTACGATGAACTATTAATCAATACATTACTATTTTTAACTGCTGGTTATGAAACAACATCAGCATCATTTGCATATGCTACCTATATCCTGGCTACCCATTCGGACGTACAAAAAAAACTACAAGATGAAATTGATACTGACACACATTATATAGATTTATTTTGGAAAGAAGTATCAAGAATGTATCCCATTGCAACGCCGTTTATTAAGCGGCATTGTGTCCAGAATACACAAGTGTTGGATTATAAAATTAAAAAAGGTATAATTTATCCTACTGAGTTGGTCAACAAACTATATTTTATATAAAAATTCCGAGAAGACGCAGTTGGTAATAAAATTTTGATCAATGAGTATAATACTGCGATAAAGTACATCTTGAAAATTTTGCTGAATTTTTCTTTTATTACTCGAGCTTTCGGTACGTTACTACGACCATTGTCAAGAGCGAATAAAGTTAGAATAAATAGTTGAAAATTCATACAGTTGTACAGAAAGGCAGAAGAAAAAACTTCGATGAATAATACATTTGAATGCGCATTTGAATGTTTGCAGAATACTGTCTTCACACCAAAGTATGCGTATGTATGCGTACTCAGAACGATTAATCAATACGGCAAAAAAGAAATGCATAAGAAATATTAGTGAACATATCACCGGAAAAAAAATAAAGTTGGTTTAGAGTTGCTGAAAAGTGGTTTTTCGTATTCAGCACACTCGATAACCCAGAAGATTTTCTATTTTTGGCTCGGGGTACTTCCGAAAGTTTAGGAAAAGTTTTCAAATTAATATTATTTTTCCATGGAAAACTTTTTGCGCCATTTTGTTTCAAAATTTTTCTTAAACTTTCGGAAGTACCCCGAGCCAAAAATAGAAAATCTTCTGGGTTATCGAGTGTGCTGAATACGAAAAATCACTTTTCAGCAACTCTAAACCAACTTTATTTTTTTTGTTCCGGTGATATGGATGAATATAATGCGATAAAATCATTAAAATCGAATGAAAGGATAGTTATTTGCAAAGCTGACAAAGGTAATTGTATAGTTGTGCTGGATAAAGTAGATTACATTAATAAAGCATATGATATCTTGACGCTTAAACAATTTTCATCTGTTTCTGCGATAAGTGGACTACGATTGTTAAAACAGAAAGAAGCAGACATGAACAAATATCTTCGTTTATTGTATACTCAGAATGTTATAGATAAAAATTTATTTTGGAAAATAAGATCCACAAGTGCTCATTGTCAGTTTTTTACGGTCAGCCGAAAGTCCATCGTGACCACTATCCCCTTAGACGCATCATCTCGACAGTAGGATCATATAACTATGCATTAAGTCAACATTTAGCCAATGTCATTAAACAACATTGTCCACCACCATTATCTTTTATTAAAGACTCATTTGATTTCGTTGAAAGGATTAAAAATTTGAATTATAAAAATCAAACCTTAGTTAGTTTCGACATCGAGTCACTGTATACGAACATACCGGTGTATGAAGCAATTAAAACAATGTTAAATTTGACTTATAAAGACGGTAATAAACCGAACACTGTCTCATACACGCGTGATCAAATCGAAAACCTACTAAAAATGGCTGTTTGTAATACTCCGTTTCTTTTCATAAATGACGTGTACGCACAACGAGAAGGAGTTGCTTAGCTCCAATTTTAGCCAATATTTTTATGACTAATTTAGAAGAGAAAAAATTAAATCTGTTGTCATATAATAGACCATTGACCTATTTAAGATATGTGGACGATGTTTTCTGCGTCTTTTCTAAGAAACAAAACGTCGATGCATTCTTAAATACGATTAATCATTGGCATAGTAATATTAGCTTTAGTGTCGAGAAGGAAACGAACGATGAATTACACTATCTCGATGTATTAGTAAAAAGAAATGTTACTGACAAAAAGTATGATACCACCTTACACAGCGCTGGCCAGTGGATGCCGATCGAAAGTCGATGAAGACAATGACCGTTCGCTTGCAACATCGTATTCGTTCTTCCATCAGTTGTCTGAGGACGAAAATCTGGTCACAGTAGCTGCGGTGTGATCGAAAACCCGCTTGTTCTTCTCGGCAGGTTTGCTCGCGGTACTTCTGAAGTCTCGACTGGATGACCTTTGTGAAAACTTTGCCAACGATGGACAGTAGGCTAATTCTACGATAGTTCTTGCATTCGCGACTGTCACCCTTCTTGTGTACGGGCACCCCAATGGCCTTCTTCCACGCGAGTGGTACCTGTTCAGTTTGCCAGATGGCCCGCAGAAGCAAGTGGATACGATGAAACAGGATGTCTCCTCCAGCTTTGATTGCTTCAGCGGTGATCTGGTCCACGCCTGGCGCCTTTCCATTCTTCAAGGTTCGAACGGCAATCTTTACCTCATTGATAGTCGGTTCGGCGTCGGACATGACAATCTCTGGCGGTTGAATGCGTGGTGGGTCCGCGGTTGCTCCAGCTGGCTGGTCGTGGTTGTAGAGTTCCTCGAAAAATTCTCTCCAGCGCTTCAGACGCTCGGTGGATGATCGTACAAAAGTCCCGTCGGCGTTTCGAATATTATCATTGGTCGATTTGGTCTTTCCGCTCACGTAAGAGTTCGGTAGAGCGTGTGGTATTCGTGCTTCGAGGCGGCTTCTTCCAAGTCAGCTGCCACTTGGTTCCAATGTGCCTCGCGCTCTTCTTTCAGTCGTTTGCGAACCTTCCGATTAAGCTGCCGATATCGACTGTAGTCGACCAACTTGACTCGTTTCCGTTCGTTCACCAGGTCGAGACATTCGTCGGATATCCAAGGCTGTGTTCGGTGGCGGGTGGGTGGACATAGTGGTTGAGCGCAGTCCATAATGGCGTTCGAGATTTGCTTTTGTATCTCGTCGACGTTTTCAGATTCGGCCAATGCTGCGAAGCAATTCGATAGCGCGATTTGGAATTCTTCTTTTTGGACAGGGTCCAAGAGGCATTTCCAATCCAGCTTCGCTGGTGGCGCTGATTTGTGTTTGGCTCGTTGCAGTCGGAGTTGTATCACGCTTCGGACGAAATAGTGATCCGATCCACAGTCTGGTCCTCTCATGGCACGGACGTCTTTGACTGAAGACCGAAAACGGGAGTTGATCAGGACGTAATCCAACACTGCTGAGTCCTTGCCAGTTGAATTTCGCCACGTGAGTTGATGTTTGCGGGGATGCTGGAAGTGGCTGTTTCCTATGAGGTGATTGTTGGTTGTGGCGAAGGACAGAAGGCGCAGTCCGTTATCATTGATCTCCCCATGACCAAAACGACCCATTACGTTTTCCCATCCAGTTCGATCTGCACCAATGTGGGCGTTGAAATCACCAGCCAATATGATCACGTCCGTTTGCGTGTGTTGGAGCTGGTTGTAGAAATTGTCCTTAACCGGGTCAAGGCTGGTCTCGGTTGGTGCGTAGATCGAGACCAGATGAGTTTTGATGGTGCCGTCGATAGTGAGGACTGCGAAGTTTTTTGTATGGTTTCAAATCAACGTAATGTTCATCTAGAATGGAAAGAAAGTATGATATTTTATTCAGATCGTGGAAAACTAAAGGCTAACTATAAAGTATTGAAAGGATAGACAGCTTTGTATAAAATAGTAATGCACATAGACAGTGAATTAGTTAGAAATCAGTTTAGAGAGAAATTTCAATCATTTTGTCGTATGGTTATTATTATTTTTGTTTGGTTATGAAATGTACCATTTCACAGATGACGAATTGCTCGTCTATAATGTGAAAAACGTTTCTCGTGTGTATAGTGAAGAATAATGGAATTGTTTTAATAATTTCGCTTGAACTAATGGATCAATGTTGGGATTAAAATGATTATAGTTCATTGTTTTAACAATGCGTGTTGCTCGTTTATGTTCATGAATGTTCATTCTCTCTAGCACGTGTTTGATATATTTTTTTCTTTCTCTCAATTTTGTAAAACAAAATTTTTCAAAGATATCAGAATAGAAATCAATCAAGAAAAGAAGACGAGATAAAAATACTCCGTTAACAGTGATACACAAGCATTTTCTTCTCACAAAGCCAAAACATATTACATAATCTGTTTGCTTTCATTTTCAGTTTCATTTGTGCAATTAGTGTTTTTAACTTAGGATTTAGATCCTTCTTTTTTCGTGGTGTTCCTCCTTTCAAGATTTTGCAATTGCTTCTTAATTCCTCGTTTTTAGAAAAAGCACACTGGATTGGAAAAAGCACAACAAACTTGCCTATTGTTCGAAAGTTGATTTTCTAAAAAATCAACATTTTTAATCATCATAACACAAACTGTCCTGCATGAAGACAGAAGTGAGTCATCAAAGTTCACATTTCGACGAAGTCACTGAGAAAAATTGGCATGTCTGAATGTTACGTGTTATTTATTAATGCACTGGCAAAGCAAAAAGGTGAGCGAAAAAAAAAGCGGAAAATCAAGATCTATTTGTTATAGAATTGCAGTTTTCTAAAAAAATCCATATTAATTTCCTACTTAGTAAAAAATTGATTTTATTGAAAATGATTTGATTTTCTATTTTCTAGAATTTGTTGATTTTCCAACTTTTTGTAGGCTTCACGGGGCACCGGACGATGATGAGGCAGAAACTTCATGACAGGAACCACGCGAAGGACATATTTTCTTGTGAGTGAAAGATGTTATGTTTATTCTGATCTATTTTCGTAATAAAGGTGATGGTTCTTCTTGCGAGCAAAGATGAAACTATGAATAGCTTATGTTAGCAGTGATTCTTCGGACTCCGGAGGACGAGGAAGTGCCAAAGGAAAGTTTTATCAAGAAATGACGATGGACGAGGCGGCGACGCAGCAGAAAGCTTACGGGGCGGTACCCGCTAAGTACATTTATCGAAACTTGGCGAGATGCGGGGCGATGACGAGGCAGGAAGTTTATGATCCTCGCGATGGGGCTAAACATAGTTCATCATCCACCTCTGATACCGATGTACCGCAATATTTTAATCAAAACTTTAATTCAAATAGTAAACATATTAATTTAATTAAAAACGCAATAATTAATGAAATCCAATAGAATATCAAAACCACCATTGTCATTGTAGAAAGATGCACGTTTAATAGATTTTTTAACTGATCAAACACAAAAAGATGTCTTACAAACTATGCAAAATTGCGAGGTACGGGGCGATGAGGAGGCAGGACGTTTGTGATCCCCGCGAGGGAGCTAAACATAGTCCATCACCTACCTCTGATACCGATGTAGATGCTTTCGTTTATGCAGCTCATTTGCAGTATCCGTTAATGTGTTTTGACAACACAAACCAACTACGGA